AGTCCCCCAGTCCCGGCCCCCCACCGCAGTCCCCCAGTCCCGGCCTCCCACCGCGGTCCCCCAGCCCCGGCCTCCCACCGCGGTCCCCCAGCCCCGGCCTCCCACCGCAGTCCCCCAGCCCCGGCCTCCCACCGCAGTCCCCCAGTCCCGGCCTCCCACCGCAGTCCCCCAGCCCCGGCCTCCCACCGCAGTCCCCCAGCCCCGGCCTCCCACCGCAGTCCCCCAGCCCCGGCCTCCCACCGCAGTCCCCCAGCCCCGGCCTCCCACCGCAGTCCCCCAGCCCCGGCCTCCCACCGCAGTCCCCCAGCCCCGGCCTCCCACCGCGGTCCCCCAGCCCCGGCCTCCCACCGCGGTCCCCCAGCCCCGGCCCCCCACGGCGGTCCCCCAGCCCCGGCCTCCCACGGCGGTCCCCCAGCCCCGGCCCCCCACCGCGGTCCCCCAGCCCCGGCCTCCCACCGCGGTCCCCCAGCCCCGGCCTCCCACGGCAGTCCCCCAGCCCCGGCCTCCCACGGCAGTCCTCCAGCCCCGGCCTCCCACGGCGGTCCTCCAGCCCCGGCCTCCCACGGCAGTCCCCCAGCCCCGGCCTCCCACGGCGGTCCTCCAGCCCCGGCCTCCCACGGCGGTCCCCCAGCCCCGGCCCCGCCAGCCCCTTTCCCGCTCCCCGCCGGCCTCCCCGCCCGGCCCTCACTGCGCCTGCGCCCCGCGCCGGCAGGTGGCCCGGACCCCAGCATGCACCGCGGCCGCACCGGCCCGCGGCGGCCTGAGGTGGTGGGGGGGGGTGCGGGGTGGGGATGGGAGCGGTCGGGGGTCGGGGGTCACCCCGCCGGGGATGGGAGGGGCGGGAGGGCGGGGGGGGGGCGCCGGGCCGCGCGGCCGCACCCACCTCCACGAAGGCGTCCGTCAGGTCGCTGGCTCGGTCCATCACGGGCAAATGGCGGCCGGCCACGATCTTCACCTTCAGCTTGCCGGGCATGGCGGCGGCGGCAGCGGCAGCGGCGGCGGCGGGCTCCCCGCCGGTCCCCGCAGGAGCCGCCCAGCGCGCCTGCGCCGACGCCGCGCGCCGCGGGACGGAGGGCCGGAGGGGCGGGGCGGAGAGGGCGGCGGGAGCGCGCGCGCAGCGGCGCGGGCCGGAGGGGCGGGGCGGAGAGGGCGGCGGGAGCGCGCGCGGCGCCGCGGGGCCGCGCACGTCGCCGCGCGTGCGCACTCGCCCGCCGCAGCCCGGCGGAGACCCGAATGGGTGTGTGTGGGGGGGGGGGACGGTCCTCCGACGCCGACCTGGGGAGAACCTCCTTCTAGAAAGACAACCTGAAGAGATGCTGGGAGATTCTTCTGCCCTGGTCCCAGAGTCCTGGGAAGCCAGGCGAGCCCTCCCACGCCTCAAAAATAAGAAAAATAACGGCAGCGCGGCGCGACGCGGGGAGAGCGGGAGGAGCGTCGATGACGCGGGCTCGGCCCGCCGGGCGGGTGGGCGTGGCTTGAGGCGGCGGGGGCGGGTGGGCGTGGCTTGAGGCGGCGGGGGCGGGGCCCCGGAGGGCGCAGGGAAACGAATGGAGCCCCGCATCGTCCACCCGGCCCAGGCCCCTCGGCCCCGAGCCGTGCGCGACCTAGAAACGGCTTTCCGAGATGGCGGCGCCTCCCACGGCTGGAGCGCGGCTCGCGTGGGTGAAGGCGGCGCTGGTGGCAGTGCCTCGCGCCCGTCACCCTCGTGACGGGAAGCCCAGACGCGAGGATCGCGTTCCCAGCCGGCCCGGGAGCAGAGGAGCCCGGACAGAGCAAGCTCCGCCCCCCGCAGGAGCTGACAGGCCCAGAAAAGCCCGGACAGAGCAAGCTCCGCCCCCCGCAGGAGCCGACAGGCCCAGAGGAGCCCGGACAGAGCAAGCTCCGCCCCCCGCAGGAGCCGACAGGCCCAGAGGAGCCCGGACAGAGCAAGCTCCGCCCCCCGCAGGAGCCGACAGGCCCAGAGGAGCCCTGGACAGAGCAAGCTCCGCCCCCCGCAGGAGCTGACAGGCCCAACTCGCCCGAGTTGGGGTCCAGACTTTTGATCCCCCACAAAGAACCTCTTGTTCTTCACTATCTGGACCAAGAGAGGCCAGTGCTCCCATGAGCCTCTACGCTCCCATGAGCCTTCGCGTCCAGGGCGTGACCTGACCCCCATGTCTCAGGATCCGCACTGTGCGCTTTAGCTCCGGGATCCTCCAGCCCCGCACACCGGGTGTGCGGCCAACAGTTCATCCGGGCCTGGGACTCAAACCCAGGGCCTGGGCGCTGTCCCCCAGATCTGTAGTGGAAGGCAGGCGCTCTCGCACTTGAGCCGCAGCGCCCCTTCTCACATCGCAGTGCTGTCTTGGAGCTAAAGAGTCTCACAGGCTTCCCTGCCCGGGCTGGCTTCGAAGCCAGCCCTTAGAGCTCAGCCTCAGGAGCAGCCACCGCCCCCTCCCCTACCCCCCCCCCCCCCGCAGAGGGCCAGGAAGGGGCGTGGCCGAGGGTTTCTCCACCAATCACAGCGCAGTGCTCTACGTGGCGCTCTCAGCAGCAAGCGGCTGCGGTGGCTGTGCGTCCTCCTCCCGGCTCCTCATGGCAGCGGGGCTGGCAGGAGGCGTGCGGCGCCACTGGTCCGAGCCTGACGGGCCTTCGCGCGAAGCAACCCAGGCGCCAGGGCCGGGCCTGACAGCTGTCAGTCAGGAAGGCAGACCCTCCCACCCTCCAATGGGGAACGGGGGGCGGGACTAACAGCTGTCAGGGAGTCGGACCGTCCCAGCCTCCAATGGGGCGCCAGGGGCGGGGCTGGCAGCTGTCAGTCAGGGAGTCGGACCGTCCCAGCCTCCAATGGGGCGCCAGGGGCGGGGCTGGCAGCTGTCAGTCAGGTAGCACGGTTGCTCTGGCCCCCATGAAGGTAGGCGTGAGAAGGAGCGCTTGCCCGCGGCACAAGGCGCTGCATGGTGTGCGGCCCCATGTGGCCAGCCAGCCCAGGCCCTGGAGAGGGACCCCCCCCACCCCCCCATCTGTTTTCCGCAGACAAGGCCCTGGATTCCATCCCTGACACACGCGCGCACACACAGAAAATGGAAGTGTTACCATCGCTTCTCATGGAAAAAAACAAATCATCACATGACAGGACGTGGTCAGGTTCAAGGGGGAAACCACGGCGGCTGGCGCCGGGGCCGGCCAGCCGGGTGGACTGCGGTTCATCATTGTCATCATCATCATCCTCATCCTCATCATCATCGTCATCATCATGATCAGCATCAGCATCGTTATCATCATGGTCATCATCATCGTCGTCATCATTGTCATCATCATCATCCTCATCATCATCATGATCGTCGTTATCATCATGGTCATCATCATCATGGTCAGCATTGTCATCATCATTGTTATCATCATCATCATCATCATTATTGTTATCATCATGGTTGTCATTGTCATCGCCATCATCATCATCATTGTTATTGTCATCATCATTGTCATCATCATCATCATCATCATCGTCATCATTGTCATCATCATTGTTATCATTATCATCATCATCATCGTTATCATCATGGTTATCATTGTCATCATCATCTTCATCATCATCATTGTTATCATTATCATCATTATCATCGTCATCATCATCATCATAGTCATCATCATCATTGTTATCATTGTCACCATCATCACCATGTTATCATCGTCATCATCATCGTCATCGTCATCATCGTCATCATCGTCATCATTATCATCATCATCATGTTATCATCGTCATCATCATCGTCGTCGTCATCATCAGCAGCAGCAGCAGTCTTCTTCCTCCCTCTCCGCCATCTTCTCCGTCTCCTTGGCTTTGGTCTTTCCCAGGCTGAGGACGTAGCCTTCCCTTTGTGGTGAAGACCCCAGGACTGGTCACGGAGTCGCTATTCAGATGTAGGCAGTGAGCGGGGGTCGCTGGCTCCCACCCAGAATCCCAGCTACTGAGGAGGCTGAGACCCCAGGGCCCGAGGTTCAAAGCCAGGCCGGGCAGGAAGGGTGATGAGAGTCTCATCTCCAGTTTACCATGAAAAACCTGAAAGTGGAGAGGTGGCTCAAGCAGCGGAGCCACCACCTGGATGGAAGAGGCCTAGGGACAGCCCCGGGGTCCTGGGTTCAAGCCCCAAGGCCAGTGCATGTGCTCGCGTGCACGCACACATACATACAATCACACACACATACAATCACATCTTACACATCGAAGTAATGCCTTCTATCTAATCATTGTCTGTAAGCTTAGAGCACCTTAGAGGGAAAAGGTGCTTCTTGCTTTCAAGCTGTAAATGCTTCTTGTTTCGGGGGCGGGGTAGAATTGAACACGTCCATTAACATTCACCTGTCGGCATGGTCATCTGTAGACATAGGTGGCCGCAGCTCTCTGGCTGCTGCCCCAGTGTCAGGAGAGGCCACTGTGCAGGATTTGGGGACAGAGCTGGCATTAGGGCTGACGAACCCCGCCTTCCATCCCTCTCCCCCCCCAGGCCACGTTCCCCTCACCCTTTACCCCACACACCTGCACTGAGTGCTCTGCTGGATTGCATCCCCTGTTCCATCCATCCATCCACTGCCCTCGAAACCCCCATCCCCAGAGCTGGGAAGGCGGCCCCGGGGTAGAGTGCTCGCCTCGCATGCACGAGGCCCTGGGTTCGATTCCTCAACACCACAGAAGAAGAAGAAAGCTAGAAGTGGCACTGTGGCTCAAGTGGTAGAGCGCCAGCCTTGAGCAAAAGCAGCTCAGGGACAGCGCCCAGGCCCTGAGTTCAAGCCCCAGGACTGGCATAAATGAGCTGAGCCGAGCACTAGTGGCTCAGGCCTATAATCCTAGCTATGCGGGGGGTTGAGATCTGAGGATCATGGTTCAAAACCAGCACAGACAGGAAAGTTCATGGGACTCTTCAGTGAACCACCAGAAACGCAGAAGTGGAGCTGTTCACGGGGCAGAACGTTAGCCTTGAACAAAAAGTGCTCAGGGACAACACCCAGACCCTGAGTTCAAGCCCTACATAGAGAACAAAACATATCTGAAAACTCAACACCTCGTGCTCTCTTAAGCCCATCCTTTTACTTTCCTTTGCCAATTAGGTAGGACTAATAATTAGAGTCGTTACAGTTCTGTGGGCCATTATCTTCACAGACACCCTAATTGTCCCATTAATTAGATTGATTAAGTTGACATCATTTCCCAAGTCATCTGTTAATTTCCTCCCTCATCCTATTATTAGAAGATCAGCCTAATAAAGTGTCAAGTGGACCTTGAAAAGCAAAGCTAGATGTATAATGAGCCTGGCATTATGACTCTCAAGTCAAATTCCCTGTGGGCTAGTGTTATTTAAAGTTGCTGACAGGTGGACTCTTAGAAACCACGGAACTGATGGAAAGAACCAAGTGAGCCCATCCTACCTGCGCCACAGGGACTGTCTATTGAGCCTGTTCCAGACACTCACATACTAGGTTTACAAACCTGCTACAGGGGCAGGGAAGGTGGCTCAGTGGTAGAGTGCTGGCCTCGCATGCATGGGGCCCTTGGTTCGATTCCTCAGGACCACATCAACAGGAAAAGCCAGAAGTGGCACTGTGGCTCAAATGGTAGAGCGCTAGCCTTGAGCAAAAGAAGCTCAGGGACAGCGCCCAGACCCTGAGTTCAAGTCCCGGGACTGGCAATATCAATCTTACTATGGTTGGAGTATGATATGGTAGAGCTCGTGTGTCGAACACTCTCTGCCCACCAGGTGGCGATGTTTGAGGAGGTTGCAGGTTGGGTTCCTGGGTCCATCAGTGCTCAGCAGCATTGGACCTGGTACCTGTCTCTTCTCTCTCCTGCTCTGTCCTATGTCAAGGGACTAAGCAGCCTCCAACAGAAGCCGCAGAAACCTGAGCTAAAATCTGTATCAAAACCCGGACGCTGGTGGTTCACGCCTGTCATCCCAGCTTCTCAGGAGGCTGAGATGTGAGGATCGGGGTTCAAAGCCAGCCCTGGCAGGAAAATCCATGAGACTCTGATCTCCCAAGAACCACCAGGAAACTGG